TTTTAGAACATTTTTACTGGTAGTAGGACTTCTTGTGAGTCCGCGCGGATGGGCACCACCACCCTGCCTATTTCTGCCGTGAAGCAGTAATGCGTTTCGGTTTGAAGGGTGGGGCAGCCGTTGTAACTATACTGAGATCATAGAACGTATATCTCAAGGCGGATGGCGCATTTACGTTGTAGATGTCTATGGGCTCCAGTAATCACTTACCAGCAGGTGGGCTGTGAGCTCGTTCACCCACCTAAGCAATAAATAAAAAATAAGAAAAAAAACATGACACTAGCAGTTTGTTACGTATGAGGGCCGTACTTGAACAACGACTGACAAACATCACACAGGTAGTATGCGGTAGTATGCGACAGGCGAAATTAGTGGACTGTCTCATTCTTCATGTCGATGTGCACGGAATAGATAAATAAGGTTGGAAAGGCCTTTGCTCTAATTTTGTATTAGAACCAGTGTCGCCGCTTCATCCCCACTATTTTAATTTCTACACATACACACACTGTGATCCACAGATTCGGTAGAATCTGGCGCCAAGTTCCGTTCAAAAATCCCGTTGTAAACGGAGCGCCAGACTACCGACTGTGTTTACTGTGAGCAGAACAGTTTTTTGAGGTTGCGAAATTTTATTTAATTCTACGGTACTTCTGGTTCCTAAATTGTATATTATATCAATCACTCACAACTTTATTTTACTGATATTAACTAGTNGCGTTAGGTTCTTTAGGAAACCTAAAATTTTTAATTTACTGCATAAGTCAAATAGCATTTTACTTAGATTTTAATACGTCTTAGACAATATAGTAAATACCCGTAAATGAGAGGTCTACATGTCCCTTTATATTATACCTTCACTTTAATTCAATGATAATAATTCAATAATAATAATACATATTTATTTTACTCAAAATACGCCTCACTAAGAATATACTAGGTATCATTAATTAAATATAAAATAATGCAAAAATTATCCATGTCAAATGTAAAGATAGTTGAGAATTCTGTCGATGATTTTATTTCACCACATGGTCACCTCACTATCGACAAACTGCACCACGGCCAATCAGGGCAAAGGCCGAAATTTCAAAGATTGAAGTGTAGAGAACGCAATGCATGTAGTACATTGGAAGCTGACTTGTTCATTGCGTTCATTGGGCGAGTACACATCGCGCAATGTATGCTATTTATAACTTGCTGCAATAATATTGTTAATGTTTGGAATTTCATAATGCTTAGTATATTTTTATGTTTTAGACAAATAATATTGTAATTAAATGGTAATTTAGACTTACCGATCGAAAGATATACCTCCTCGCTCTATACTTGAGGTCTGATTTTTTGTTTTACAAGTTATAATTGCACAACACGGCACTATAAAGCGGAGATCTGTTCGCCAAAGTAGTCCGAAGCGCACTAAACGCGGTGAAAGAAAGAATCGGTCGAGTTATGTTTGTACAATCATAACAGTGGCACGCTTGCCCCGCCTACATTACCATTCCAACCTTATTTATCTATTCCGTGTCGATGTGCAATGTTTATTGTCGGGTACTGTACGCGAAGATCTTTAGAACATCCTCATTCGTCATCGTACGATGGCGGTGCTAACAGTGAATGCCAACAATGACTATACAACGTTTCAATTGAATTAATAATCAAGAACAAAGGAAATCAGATTAGTTAATCACTGTAACTCTCGTGGTCCGATATTGATCGCCAGACGGTGGTATCCTCCTTTATAGCTCCTTTATCGGATGTTTTTGCTATCACTGATTGAATGTGTATTTCGCACACCCACAACAGAATAGCTAATCCTATTTAAGGGTTGCTTGCTATATCAAATTTGTCACTCTGTGTAATTATTACTTTTACTTATCATGACATATTTATCTTCGAACGAGGCTTGTGGAGAGTACTTAACGGTAGGCAGCGGTTTGACTCTACCCCTGGCATTGCTGACGTCCATGAGCGATGGAACTACTTACCGTCGGGTGAGCCGTATGCTCGTTTGCCTATAAAGACAATAAAAAATCGTAGTTCTTCGTTTTAGTCCCGCGAATGAGACTTGAGAATTGAAGATGTAAATTCGTTCTCTTTAGAACAAGTTAGGCCACTTTTTTTCACTTCCGCATTTGCTATATGTAATTCTTCAAGTCTTGCTTGAATTGTTTTCGTTTTATTATTTTTCCCGTTAGGGCGTAGATAGAATAGCACCATAGGCTGCAAGCGAAACGGTAGGGAATACAATTTATAAAAACTTACTATTTCCCAACGTTTCTATAGTTTTCGTGGTAATGGACGACCAAGGTCGATCGATATTAGATTGTAACAGTGTAGGTTGGAATACAGGTACTAATTACCGGATTTTATAAAATATTTCTGGTCATTTAAGTTTCTTTACACTCGGAAAGAATTAAAAGTATTATGAGGTCTGACAGTTTGACTTGAGGTTTAGATGGTAAGGGAATTTCAAATATTATACGATTACTTTTTATTTATTTATTGCTTAAATGGGTGAACGAACCCACAGCCCACCCGGTGTTAAGTGGTTACTGGAGCCCATAGACATCCACAACGTAAATGCGCCACCTACCCTGAGATAGAAGTTCTAAGGTCTCAGTATAGTTACAACGGCTGCTCCACCCTTCAAACCGAAACGCATTACTGCTTCACGGCAGAAATAGGCAGGGTGGTGGTACCTACCCGCGCGGACTCACAAGAGTTCCTGCCACCAGTAAATTACATTCTAAAAAAGTTTCGTACAAGAAAGGCATCGATAGCAATCTGTCATAATCGATTTACGAAATAATTATGTAGGACACATAAGCACTACGATGAGTTCGCAAGTAGGAAAAGTGGAAAATGGAGCAACTTTACAGAGACGTGAACACACAGAGCTGCTATGAAGGGATCCCGGCCTCGCTGTCTTTGAGAGCTTTGAAAAATTAAACTTTTTGTTTTCCAACTTCGCAGCTTTCACAGCGCGAGGCGGGAGTAATTTGCGAAAATTTCTTGGAAAACATCGTTGATTTTTTGTTTAGTACGGATATTCTTTATTATTTTATTTTTGATGTGATTTAATTTTCCTAACATAATTGGAACTAAAACATCATGTCACAAGAACACAACAATAAAACAAAATCCTACATTTCGAAGTTATTCCGACTACTTTGCAGGAGCACTACGGCTTCTGAGAAAGCAGTCGTGGTCACGACCTGTTCCGTGATATAGAGATCGCCTCCCTATCTCCGCCGACTTGTAGCTCCTATCTAGAATATGATAAACACGTCGCTGACGAGCGCGTGCCTCGGTTGAGTCCTATCTGATTCGAGATTAAGACGCGAGTCATTGAACCTCAAGTGCTCATAGTCAGATTATCATTGCGTCCAACGCGTAAGCAGAAGACCTACAATTTCCGTCCGATCAAAAAACAAAACGAAGTTCGTTCCAGTGTGTTGTCCACCGTCCCACTTTTGAATACGAATACGTGAATACCTCTTAACAGTCGTAATCACTATAGTATCTACTCATGCCGGTGTCCTACACTCTACTGCAAGATTTAGGATTTAGGGGCAATCAGACGATGATATAAACGTAATCCACAGTTTCAATTTCATAGCTCGGTGTTCTACTTTCTTTTTTTCTTTTTTTATTGACCTTGTAGGCAGACGAGCATACGGCCCACCTGATGGTGAGTGGTTACCGTCGCCCATGGACTTCAGCAATGCCAGGGGCAGAGCCAAGCCGCTGCCTACCGCTTAATACTCTCCACAAGCCTTTTTTAAAGAAGGACATGTCATAGCGCTCATCCGCTCATTCAGTCAGTCAGCGCGCTTTCATTGTGAAAGCTCCTCATGCACCCGTGTTATAAAACTTGGTACCTCAAGGATTTGAAGTTCAGTTAGTGAATCGGTCACGGATCTTTACTTAATGTTTTTACAAGATTTTTAATGATTAAATGATTACTGGTGGCCCGGAGGCCTTTCCAGTTTCACCAGGACAGGTGGGCGAGCAAAGGCTCAGCCAGGAGGTGCGGGATTTGCTAACAGCTACCCGAGCGCCTCCGAAGGAGACCTAACAACTTAAGGGCAGCTGCTTCCCAAATAAATCTATCACCGGATCGGTATTGCGACCCGCTGAGAAGATCCTGCGAAAAACTCAACGGGCTGATGTTTAGGTTAAATTGTTTTTACAAGCGTATCATCTTTTAGTTATGACGTCCGTCTGGTGTAGTGGTAAGTGACATGGTCACTACACTAGGGGGTCGCGGGTTCGAATCCCGCCAAGGGAAGATATTTGTATGATAAATATAAATGTCTTTTCCAGGGTTATGGATGTATATTAAATATATGTATGTGTATAATAAAAATCTTACATTTATTTCCGATATCTGGTACCTGTAACACAAGTTCTTTACGAACTTNCGCGGGTTCGAATCCCGCCAAGGGAAGATATTTGTATGATAAATATAAATGTCTTTTCCAGGGTTATGGATGTATATTAAATATATGTATGTGTATAATAAAAATCTTACATTTATTTCCGATATCTGGTACCTGTAACACAAGTTCTTTACGAACTTATCACGGGACCAGTTAACGTGGCGTGATTGTTAGTAAAATAGAAAAAATAGAAAAATAGTTATTTGAGATAATTCGACTGAATAAAATTAAATTTTCTCAATTCTGATAATTAAATGATACAAAAAGTAACTAAGCTGGTTGCCAGAAACCGGATGAGGAAAATCTCACTTCTATTTAATTATTGAAATATTTTATTATTATTAAAATTTTATGAATGAAAATATTTTGATCTGTGGTATAATAAATTTAGTAAGGATAATACATTATAAAAGGAAAGGCTATAGAAGACGATGAGATATATAATTTTCTTATTAAACACGAGCCGTACCTACCGTGTTTTTTTTGCAACTTTGTGGAATTCGTTTTAATTTTGTTTTTAGAAGAACAGATACTAATAAAAAATCAAATTGAACTCACCCTTATTGTGTCAATTTTACCGAAAAACGAATCGATACGATTGGGTTTCCTGTACGGATGCTTTAAAAAAAAAACAACACCGCAAACAAATCGAATGTCAAATAAAAACAAAAGCGCCGTTATCTCCGATGCGAACTAAGCGCGCGCTCTACGCCGTAGTCGCCCGCAGACTGAAAACCTGTAGATCTGCCGCTTCCTCGCCGAGCTACATACCAGTACATATCGCCAGTCAATTAGGCGAAGTACACATTTTTGTAGCACAATCATACATACCGTAGTGCGTGCTGCCTTATTTAATATGTTTTTTTTTAAACAAACTATCATTGACTCACCTGATGGAAAGTGGTTACCGTTGCTCATCGACGTCAGCAATGTCAGGGGCAGAGCCNTTGCCAGTGCAAAGGGCGTGGGGAGAGGGTCCCTCACTCTCTCTCAAGGCATCCCCCGCAGAACGCGGAGGCGGCTGCGGAGAGCTGGGCGCAGTTCTCTTGGTCGCGGCGTCCCACACAGATTCCTCTGCACGCGATTTTAGGGACGCACGCTTAAGCCCCACCGCCACGACAAGGCGGAACTACATTCGGTGGGGACAATCATACATATCGTAGTGCGTGCTGCCTTATGTGTATAAACGCCTATTTGAACAGACGTCGAGCCCTAAATCGTTCTCGTCGAAGCCGTCACTTGCGACGAAGGGCTCGGCGAGTAAATTAACCCATAGACACGGCCCACTGACTTTCTCGCCGGATCTTCTCAGAGGGTCGAGCTTCCGATCCGGTGGTAGATTCTGCAAAACATAGCTACAACGTCAGGTTTGAGCCCCGTGAGATCACCTAATAGTTAAGGCTACGCTGAAATGGTCTCTCAAGACCAACAGCTTAGGTAGGAAAAAAATAAGACCTCGAGAAGAGTTACTCAATTTAAAGAGAGTTTTTGTTTTTATTCCATAGATGGGTGGACGAGCTCACGGCCTGATGTTAAGGGGTCACCGGAGCCCATAGACACCTACAACGTAAATGCCGCCACCCACTTTGAGATATGGGTTCTAAGGTCCCAATTTTTGTAGTAAAACAGTTGCCTCAACCTTCAAACCGATACGCATTACTGCTTCACGGCAGAAATAGGAAGGTTGGTGGTACCTACCCGTGCGGACTCACAAGACGTCAACCAGTCATCTACCTTTTGTGTTATATCTTTTTCTTTGTACTAGATGTGTGGACGATTGGAGGGCCCATTGTTAAGTGTTATTGTGTGCTTAGTGCGAGTTTTTTAACGTTCTCGATAGCGTAAAAGTTAACTCAAATTTGTATGGAGTTGTAACGTTTGCCTACGTTTTCCGCTACGGGCGCTGTTCCAACTGCATACAAATTTGAGTTAACTTTTACGCTATCGAGAACGTTAAAAAATTCACACTAAGCACACTGATACCCACATCTTTTTTTTTTATTGCCCTATAGGCAAACGAGCATACGGCCCACCTGATGGTGAGTGGTTACCGTCGCTCATGGACGTCAGCAATGCCAGGGGCAGAGCCAAGCCGCTGCCTACCGTTAATATCTAAGGCGCCACCCACCTGGGGATATTAGGTTGGTTCCTTATTGTATAACGATAGTCTCAAGTGTATCCGACACGTGTACCAAAGTAAATATTGTGAACGCGGATCAAAGTAATTCACAATATACAACGTCGTGTTATTTTTGTTTGCTTAATATAAACAGATAAAATATTTCAGTACATTTGTTCTCCTCTGTTGTTGTGAAACGGTTTTTCTTTGTTACATATTATTTTGTTTGTTTGTTTGTGTTTATATTGACTTGATTTTGGGACGTGCTTTAGGGGTTACCAGAGAGAAAAAGTTTTGAAATTCCGTTTCCAACTTTCAATAATGAGGATAATAATCGGAAACACAATGTAACGGATTGCATTTCTTTCTTTTTTTTTTGCTTAGATGTGTGGACGAGCTCACAGCCCACCTGGTGTTAAGTGGTTACCGGAGCCCATAGACATCTATAACGTAAATGCGCCATCCATCTTGAGATATAAGTTCTAAGGTCTCAGTATAGTTAGGACGGCTGCCCCACTCTTCAAACCGAAATGCATTACTGCCTCACGGCAGGAATAGGCAGGACGCTGGTACCTATCCGTGCGGACTCACAAGAGGTTCTACCACCAGTAATTACGCAAATTATAATTTTGCGGGTTCGATTTTTATTACACGATGTTATTCCTTCACCGTGGAAGTCAATCGAGAACATTTGTTGAATACGTATTTCATTAGAAAAATTGGTACCCGCCTGAGATTCGAACACCGTTGCATCGATCAACACGAATGCACCGGACGCCTTATCTCTTAGGCCATGACGGCTTTTTACAGTTACTATTTCTTAGTATTACTAAGTAGTACTTAGTTTGAACTCGTTGTGAAATATTTTCTACAGGCGAGGTGCGCAAAAGCATTTAAAGAAATAAAGAAATATGTTAAAATCAAAATTGTTTGTCGGTGACCAAGGGATCTAAATACTGGAGGAGAGTTTAGAAACTATTTATTTCACGTGATAACGTCTATAGGCTCCGGTAAACTATATTTGTTAGGTAGCCTTACAACCAGCTATACCGCGGGATAATTCAAATACATATTTTTTGTGGGTGCTCCGAAATACGGTACGGCGCAAACACACACGGGTTCGGTGACCTCGGTCCCTGTTCTCCGGGCTTAGTAGAACTTACAGTCAGCGGCTGACGAATAAAAAATGTGACGCATTTGCATTTTAAAAGAAAGATTAGCAACTCATCCTCATTAAGTTTACCCATCAATGTAATGAAAAAAGTTTTCTTTCTAACGTAATGTAAAAGTTACTGGCGAACCCGCCTTCCGTCGCGACTGTGTGTCACGAACAGAGACCGTGTGTATCGCGTGCTATGGTTCATTAATGCCGCATTTAGATCAACCGAGGTCGGGTCAACGTTGAACGGACAATTTACGAAAATAGAACCCACCTATGCTGGCTGTTAGCCAACACTCGTATCCTCCGAGCATCATAACAACAGCCAGAAAAAGAAAAGAAAAAAAAGAAAAAAAAAGAATGTTATAATGTTGATTTAAGCCATGTCAATGAATGCAAGAAATATTGTATGTTTCTTGCAAGTATTCATTGACATGGCTTAATTAAATTAAGATTGGTAGAATACCTCCGATTTGAGACAAATTAATGTCACTGAATCTTAAAAATCTATACTAATATATAAATTTGCCGTGAAGCAGTAATGCGTTTCGGTTTGAGCAGCCGTTGTAACTATACCTGAGACCTTAGAACGTATGCCTCAAGGTGGGTGGCGCATTTACGTTGTGGATGTCTATGGGCTCCAGTAAGCACTTAACACCAGGTGGGCTATGAGCTCGTCCACCCAGTGATATACATAAGTGATGTTGTGTGTAGAGGTGTCAAAACAAAATAAAAGAGTTTAAAATGTTACCAAATATAGCTTTATTGAGTTCCGAAATGATTCAGACATTTAGAATAATCACGTACCTATATATCTAATGTATATTATTTACATGTATACAAAATCACAGTACTTACATCATAAAGTTACGCGTCCCGAGAGCGCTAGGTTGACGTTATATTACCGTCTGTAGATCCAGGCTAAGTCTGTAAAACTTTAGAAATTATAGAAACTAGAATTTAGTTTTAATGAACAAAATATTTTCATGTAATTATAGTGTTTTAACGCACTTCTTTTGTTTTTTAGCTTGATATGTATGTTTTGTGTATAACAAGATATTTGAAAAAAAAAAAAAAAACCTCATTTTCACCGACTCCAATACGTGAAATTAAATTTGAACGTTTCCATACGCATTAAATATCGATCATAATACAATAATTTTATAACTTCGCTCTAATGTCCTGAGCGGTATTAACAGGATTTAAAAAAAAGATGAAATAAATTGTTAGTTCAGTTTGATATCTAACCCTTTTTTTTTATTTTTAAAACTAAATAATATATCATTTTATAAATTGTTTAGAGAAATATATGTGCTTATTTCTACATCAACTAACTACTACGGTCAACAGCCGATTTCTTTATTTCTACGATAGATGTCGCTGTAGTCTTAGTAAGGCTTCAAAAACAAAAGGATTCATGTGACACCTTTCCGTTTTAATCCTTAATTTATAGATTTAAAACGAAGTACCAAGTAGACATTAAAGAATAAAACTTATTTTTAGTTATTAAATACAAATTTTGTCAGGGGTCAACGAACCTCAAAAATGCTTGAACAGTTAATAGCATTTATCATATTATTATAGTAATAATGGTATAAAATAATAACAGTATATTATATAACAGTGCATTAAAAATAAATAAATCAACGTCTGCTATTAAATTTCGCGATCATTACTTTCGTTTTATTGTTTCAGACGTTTGAAATACTAACTACAGTTTCCTTGGTCACGGGCGATTCGTCAATCAAAAGTAATAATGGCGTGATTTACCCGTAAAATCAGTTTTGATTACAGCCCAAATTAGTTGGTTATGGCCTTTAATTAAAATTAAATTTAATAAGATCAAAATTATTGTTCTAGTAGGAACACAGTGTATGGTTTCGTACTTAAACAATAGCTTAAAATGATCTACTATCAATAATACATACTAGAGGTCCCGCAGTAGTCGAAATTCGGCTATAATTAATTGGAATTGTAAGTTTGTACACTATTATGATTGTATTTTATACTTCTATAATCACAAATTTCGCAAAGGCTACACTATAAAAAAATATTAATAAAGACAAACAATATTTAATCTGTTCTCAATTTGACCACAGACGTCAAGAACAAAAGTTTGACAATAAATAGTATGCATGCGTGTGTGGGTCAAATACATGGTATGTAGTGTGTGTAATGTTTTCTTTATTGATTTAATGTATCTTCTAGGCATTATTTAAAAAATATGTTAGCATTGTGCACTTCTTCTCTATATTCTCTATAAGTGTGGAAAATTTCATACTCCTCCGTCGGCGCAATTTTCGTAAAAAGGGATACAAAGTTTTTGCTTCACGTATTAATATATAGATAGATGTACGTATGCTCAAATTGTGTGTCATTTGTGAATAGAGAGCATCATTGTTTTTCTTTTGATTAACTTTTGATTAATATATAGAAAATATTACTACGCCAATTCTATTTATTATTTAATATTTATTACAATTAAATTGAATTTTAATTAAAAATTTAATCTTATTTACGATTGAGGTACCAGGAGCTCATATTAGGAGACAAGTAAATATTTAATAGCCACCTATAGTTATTCTTTAATGACATAGCCTAATTCCTTCATCTCTCTGTCGAATTTATCGTCGCGGTATTTCTTGATTTTGTTCAGCCAGACAGCAAACGAACAGTGGCTCCTGCACGAGCCTCCATACCTCGCCGGCAGACACTCCACAGGTATATGTTGCTGTAAAGACTTCAGGTCGTTTCCGTGGAAGTATATTGTGTCCCAGGCGCGACGCGGTATGAATTTCTTGAATAAGTAAAAAAACGTGTTCAATATCCATGAGTAATTGATCAAGTGTGCTCCTTTCACTCGAGTCGGGTTCGCGAGCTGAAAATACAGTGAAAACATTGGTATATGTTTTAGATAGATAAAAAATAATCGCATATAAATACTATTATATATACTAATGTTTCAGTTATTTAGTTTTTTTTTATAGCTTAGACGGGTGGACGAGCTCACAGCCCACTTGGTGTTAAGAGGTTACTGTAGCCCATGGACATCTACAACGTAAATGCACCACCTACCTTGAGATATAAGTTCTAAGGTCTCAGTATAATTACAACGGCTGCCCCAGCCTTAAAACCGAAACGCATTACCGCTTCACGGCAGAAATAAGCGGGGTGGTGGTACCTACCCGCGAGGAGTCACAAGAGGCCCTACTATTAGTAATTAAAGCAAAGCAAAGCAAAGCGTTTTAAGTGTGGGGCAGCCGTTGATAAAATTGGGATTCAGAACTTATGTCTCAAAAGGTGTGTCGGCATCTACGTTGTTTATACCTATGGATTCCGATTACCACTTAAGAGCAGATCGGCCGTGAGCTCTTTCACCCATCTAGGCAATAAAGAATATTTAAACACTATTTGCACTCACCCCCATTAAAGAGACAATCTGATAAGCAACGGTAGGCGTCAAGGTCGCCACGTGTCGCAATGTAATGCCTTCTAGATCGACAATAACCGTCCCCCCGAGGACCTGAAGCTTGGGCTGTCGTATCCCAATCTCAACCATCGCCATCCCAGCCCGAACCAAGTCCTCCACCGGGAACTCGTTTGGGTCCCACATACCTGAAATAACAAATAGAATGATGTGCAGTTATACCTTAAAAACCGGGCTTTAATTGCGTCTATAATTGAATTTCCTTTAGTCAGTAGACGCAACATGATATTTGTGTGGGTCGCGCTGCTGCTCCCACTTGTGACAGTGGGGGAATCGTTCCAAATATCACACCGTACACACCTTACAGCACTACTTAGATTCAGTTCCTCATTTGGTCGGTCAATACTGCGATATGGCCCACTGAGTTTCTCGCCGGATTTTCTCTGTGGGTCGCGTTTCCGACCCGGTGGTAGATTCTGCGAAGCACTGCTCTTGCTAGGGTCAGTGTTAGCAACACTCCGGTTTGAGCCCCGTGAGCTCACCTACACACGTTAGGGTGAAGTTGAAATAGCCTCTCAAGGCTATCGTAGGTAGGAAAAAAAAACTGCGATGGGTTTAGCTAGGGGTAGATAACGTAATCTTCAAACCTATAGAAGAATACCAATAATAAGTGATTAACGAAGCCCGTAGAGTTTAAAAAGTGAATTCCACCACCCTCTTTAAGAGATGAGGTCTTAGTATATATTATGTATTAAAACGGCTGCCCCACCCTTTAAACTGGAACGAGTTAGTGGTTCGCGGCATAAATAGACAGAGTCGTGGTACCTATCCGTGTGGCTTCACAAGATGCTCCACTACCAGACAACCCAAAGGCTCCGGAAGGAAATGGCTTACCAAATCGAAATATAGACAGTCTTCCAACATCAGGCCTGTCAAACATGGAGCCTTCGTATGCGTCTTGCACTTTCACCAAGCCCCATAGGTCTACGCCTTCATACAAGGACCTCTGTTGTTCGCGGAAAGTGCAATAACGGACTAGCTGTGGAGATAAAATGATTACGTTGTATAATGACTCAACATTTTACTCGTGCATTTTTTTTATTATTGCTTAGATGGGTAGATGAGGTCATGGCCCACCAGGTGTTGTTAAGTGATCAGTTACCTTGAGACACGAGGTCTAATTCCAGGTTTTAGAGTACAACAGCTGCCCCGTCCTTCAAACCAAAACGCATTACCTACTGCTTTACGGAAGAAATAAGTAGAGCAACGACCATCATTAACCGATAGATGGCGTTACTAGTTTCATATTCTAATGTAAAAATGCATTTTCAAGCGACTGCTTGTTAACATTTAAGTTTGTTAATATAATTACTGAAGAATTGGCTGTACATATTTCCCGCGTATGTAGAAAAGCCACAGAAACGACATTGGTTAAGGTACATATTTGCAAATATCCAAATCAGAACTGTTTGGTCTTGCACAACTTTTTTGAGGAATACAGTAACTGTTGCGTTGTGATAATTGAGTGTGGACTTTATTTATTGTTTTGAGACATTTACTTTATTCTTATATTAAAAATCAAAGACTTAATTTAAGAGAAATATGAAATTGACGCGTTGCTCTTGCCGGTTGGATTTGAAAGAGAATTGGTGTAATACCGGACGTCGATAGCTGAGATTTTGACGTTCAGAAACTGAACAGTAGCATCTATGAGTCTCTGCGACGACTTAGAGGTTTTTTTATTACTAAGATCTGTTGAGGAGCTCACAGCTCACCCAGTATTAACTATTCATCGGAACATATAAACATCAACAATCTAAGTGTGGCCACCCTTCTTGACAGGGCCCTTAAACTGCGACATTATAAGAAAGAAAAACTATGGAAACTAGCGACATCTTGTAGCGGCTGCCCCTAAACTTATATGTTGTTAAAGCTAAGCCATTTAATTATTGTACAACCAAACACAGAAAATAAAAATAAAAAATCATAAAAGTCTTTATTTGTTATAGACAAATAGATAAAATTTTATCAATTTGTGTTTGAATATTTACAAAATCCTTCATTATGAATAAAATATAGGATAGGGAATATGTTACTGCCATCTACAGGAGCAACGAGAAACTAATCGAAGCGAAGCCATCTAGTGGCCGGCGCCCCTAAACATTTTTGTTGAGTGCGCGAGTTGCTTATCTATAACTAATTTTTGTGTAATATTTATGCTTCTAGAGACAAGATATCGAAGTCTCAGTTTTTCAATAAAACGGCTGCCACAGCCTCCAAATCGAAACGCATTACTGCTTCACGGCAGAAAGAGGTGGTACCTACCCAGGCAGGCTCACAAGACGCCCTACCACCAGTAATAACGCGTGTTATAACTTTTACGAGGTAAAAAACAACTCACCAGTTTATGCGCTCTGGGTACAACAAAGTTCCTCGCTCGGAGGTACCGCAGCAGGTACTCATCGTCGGTCCTCAGAGGGCGACACTCTCCGCGACCTGTTGAAAACACTCCATAAGGGTCAAACGCAAACGGGTTCTGTACAATGTAAATTCAATTTATTCAATCACGTGACGCGAAAAACTGAACAGTGTAGTGTGAGTATTTAACGTTCTCGATAGCGTAAAAGTTAGCTCATATTTGTATGGAATGGGATCGTTTGCGTACGTTTGCCGCTAGGGGCGCTGTTCCAACTGCATACAAAATTGGGCTAACTTTTACGCTTTCGAGAACGTTAAAAACTTGCGCTAAGCACGCAGAACGTTTAACGGAACCGTTTTCAAAAACGAAGACGAATGTTTTTTTGCCTTTATATTCGTTTTTTTATATTTGTAAAAAAAAAACCTTTATTATCATTTAAAACCTTTAAAATTCTTTAGTTTAAAAATAATCTTAGACGGAATCACTCACCTGTCAGTTTTTCAGTGAGAAGAGAGTACAGTTTTGTATTATATTGTAATGCTGCTTAAAATATTAATTTTAAAAGAGATTAAGGGCTTTAAATGTTATTTTCTTATTAAATTACAGAATACGCAATTAAGCCTTTGATTGTTAATTCATTCTGGAGTACGAGTATTCTATTTCATTAAATATTGTCTAATGTCCATTTTTTGTGCCATCTCCGGAGTTTCGCCTTCGCTTAGAAAATATTAACTCTGTAAAATACGCTTTGAAGCTAACTAGAATATTATTTCGTTTTTCAGGCTTAATTTCTAAAACAAGTCTGTTTCATCGTAATCTTCATTGTGTTTTTATCATGTCATACTCGTCATTTCAACAAAGGCGATTGAAAGGCGATTGCGTGCAGCAGAGATGCGAATGTTGCGTTGGATGTGTGGAGTAACGAGAATGGATAGAATACGGAATGAATATGTTAGAGGAAGTCTGAAAGTGGCACCTGTGACAGAGAAGCTCAGAAGTGCGCGTTTGGGATAGTATGCACACGTGATGAGACGAAATGAAAATGAGGGTGGTAAGAGAGTGTTGACTATGGATGTGGAAGGATATAGAGGAAGAGGTAGACCTAAGAATAAATGGATGGATTGCGTGAAAGACGACATGGGTAAGAGTGAACGAAGAAATGGTATATGATATAAGAGTAGGTATGGAAGAAGAAAACATGTTGCGCCGACCCCAGGTGACTGGGAGAAGGGCAGCAGGATAATGATGATGATGATGACTCGTCATTTCAACAAAGTTATTCGGCCTGGTACAAGTATCAGAAAATCTGCCTAATACGCCAAATGCTAAGTAGTAAATGAGTACTATTTGCGTAATTACCGGTAGTAGGACCTCTTGTGAGTCCGCACGGGTAGGTACCACCGCCCCGCCTATTTCTGCCGTGAAGCAGTAATGCGTTTCGGTTTGAAGGGTGGGGCAGCCGTTGTAACTATACTGAGACCTTAGAACTCATATCTCAAGGTGGGTGGCGCGTTTACGTTGTAGATGTCTATGGGCTCCAGTAACCACTTAACACCAGATGGGCTGTGAGCTCGTCCATACATCTACCTACCATCTGCTCCTACCATTATAATTTACACTAAAGATAATTCTGTTTATTAAATTGTGATTTTTTATAATTATAATTTTTGAATAACAAATCGTATTCAACTCAGTAGCGTTGCTATACCGTTTATTGAAAATATAAAATCAAACTAACTTTCATTCACTTCACAACCAAACTTCACTTTCTACCTATATGTGATTTTGGTGGTGGAAATTTGTTTGGTTATTGTTTTAGCTGTTTTTTGAAATATCATTATACTGTTGGTCAAACAAATAAAAAAATGATATTCAAATCCAAAATTGCTTCATAAATAAGTGTGCAAATTAAAATTCGCTTAAAATTTCTTTACTATTATACTTTAATCAAAGATATTCAATCTGTAATCAGCTGAGTAGTCTTTACTAATTTATGATCAACTATGATCGATGTTACACATTGTATAGAACAAGGGTCATTGCGGTTTTTATAATAAAATACACAAACCGGTTGAATTTCAAAAGAACTGTACAAACGAATCTAATTGGGTTTTTTGTGGTTGGTCACTTTTTATAAATACTTTATATAAAAACTGAAAAAATGCTATAACTATATATACGATTACATTGTAACTACATGTGTACATATTAAGTGAGCAAAGTTTTTAGATTTGATGTTTAATAAAATCATTAAATCGTTTCTCGCCCGATCTTCTCAGTGGGCCACGATTCCGATCCGGTGGTAGATTCTGCAAAGCACTGCTCTTGCTAGGGCTGGTATTAGTAAATTATCTCAGGTTGAGCCCGTGAGCTCGCCTAACCTTCCAGGCTTAGCTGAAACAGCCCCATAAGCTACCAGCGAATAGGTAGGGGAAAAAGCCGTGGCAAATTTATCTAATGCCAATAATTATCACTAAAATATATACAAAAACTTTTAAACGACTCAGCCTTCATACTTCTCTTTTCATAAATGGGACTCAAATTATTATTTATTTATTATTTTATTTATTTATTATAGAAACAATACAAATTTTCTCCACGGACTTGTTTAGAAAACCTACTTTTGCGAAATGACAGTTACTATCACCGTCCTACTAAATTCAAGGTATTTTTTTTATAGTGTAGATAAGCTGTAATTAAAATAGCATAACAATGAATAGCTACACAATATAAAAACAACGGAAATGTACACAAAAATAAAAGGTAATCGCTTTTATGGATGACACAGAATTATTAGTGGCAGTGCAAAGAGATCCAGGTCCTTAGTTAAAAAGATGTAAAGGCAAGGGTAGGTACCACCGCCCCGCCTATTTCTGCCGTGAAGCAGTAATGCGTTTCGGTTTGAAAGGTGGGGCAGCCGCTGTAACTAACTGAGACCTTAGAACTTATATCTCAAGGTGGATGGCGCATTTACGTTGTAGATGTCTGTAGGCTCCAGTAACCGCTCAACACCAGGTGGGCTGTGAGCTCGTCCAACCAACTAAGCAATAAATACATATAAAAAAAAAAAAATTTTTTAGAAAAGACACTTACTGAATATCATCTGTCGTAGCTCCGTAATCGCTGTCGCCCTGGTAGCTGGGTTCTCGTTGCAGAGCTCCCGTGCCATCTCAAGCAATTCGGGGTTTTCTTCCGTGTTCACCTCGGCCTCGAAGGCGATCTCTTGAAAGCACTCGAACATTATGATTCCCTGGTAGCTCCAGTCTGTAATTTTAATTTTTCAATATTTTAACCACAATTAGTAAGTAGTAATACAATTAAAATACTTTAAGTTAATAATAATTTTAAAGAGTCTATAAAAAAGTCTATACAGAACAACGAAGGTAGTGGAATCTCCACACAGCTCATGCTGACCACAGCGTACCTTCGAGCTGACCCACACAAGACCTGAAGACAAACTCTCTATTATTGTATTCTATCACATCCACTGCCACTTGCCGTGTGGTGACGGCATTAGAATACTTTTGTCACCACCCCCATTACCATCCCAGGGGAGTCGTAAGAGGCGACAAAAGGGAAAGCATAACACACAATATTTACTAGTGTGAGAGAAGGAAAACTCGAAATTAAACCCTGTACCAACCCGTCTAGCCAGCGTGGTACCAGTAGGCTAATAAACCTCCAAAATGATTGCACACCGCANGGGCAGAAAGATCCTGGAGTGGCGACCACGTACTGGCAAGCGCAGTGTGGGACGGCCACCTACTAGATGGACCGACGACCTAGTAAAAAGTGCTGGGTCTCGTTGGATGCAGGTGGCAATGGACCGGTCGCACTGGAAATCTATTGGAGAGGCCTATGTTCAGCAGTGGACGGCGATAGGCTGAAATGATGATGATGACATCCACTGCATAAGCAGGCAGAATGATGGTATCTACCCAGGCGGGCTCAAAAGACGACCTACCCCTAATTACGCAAATTAATTCACGATTTGAATTTGAAACTCGCCATTCGCGTCGATACGAGTACACCGAACGTTCTAGCCACGGGCGTTTCGAGAAAAACTCAACATCATGAGAGTTCCTTACACATACATATCTATCGAGAAACTTCTTCAGGGTAGGGTCATTGGTAAATGATCTGATGGACGAAGCCCATTCGCTGGACTAATCAGATGAAAATCCTTACTAAAGCCCCACTTAACGAGAGCGTGCGCTAAGCCTCAGTTCACGAACTATGGAGAACAGCTGTCAAGGCTTTAATAAACAAGTATTCCACATGACCACGACTGCTCTGCCAAAAGGAACTATGACTATAATGACTAACGTGACCATACGTCCTTCTTTGGGCGAGATTGTCCCGCTTTCAGGCTCCCTGTTCCCAACGAGAACAAAAATGTCCCGCTTTCATTTATCTGTTGTCCATGTGTTTATTAGAAACTTACCGGATACTTATTTATCCCAAATACTTATTGTATTACAAAATATCTACTAAAGCAACTCTAATTTTGCTGTAGAAAAGTAGTTTTTTGTTGCGAAATTATTTATAAATATTATTTTAAGGGCAAGTTCGTGTAAGAATTAAGATGTCAGTGAGGGTGAGATACCATAATAAAATTATTTCAAGTCATTTTTTAGACCATATTTTTTATTTTGCACTTAAATATTACATCTTACTCCGACGTACGTACACACGACTATATGTGTATTTATTTATATACGAAATTCCGCAGGCGTCCCGCTTTGACACGAAAAAAAAAAAGGTCACGTTAATGATGACATACGTATGTATGTACAAATGTACTACAGTATTGTATGCATTTGTCCTTAGCTCTTGCAACTGACGAATAATTTAAGAAGTCATCGTTATTTGTGGCCAAGTCTTAGTTACAGTAGACGTACATTCCCACATTGAATACATAATGCTATTATAGAAAAGTATTTTTCTACTTGAAGTTGATGGTTCGCGGTATGAGCGGTTTTTTTTATCAATCTTTGTAATATGGAAACCAAAATTTATTGAAATCTGAACGGTTTTTTTGTTGGCGTAAACTGGTGAACGAGTTCGAGGTCCGTCAGTGTGCTAAGTGCGAGGTTTTTAACGTTCTCGATAGCGTAAAAGTTAACTCAATTTTATATGGAGTTGGAACAGCGCCCCTAGCGGCAAACATGGGCAAAAACTCGCACTTNTTTTTTTATCAATCTTTGTAATATGGAAACCAAAATTTATTGAAATCTGAACGGTTTTTTTGTTGGCGTAAACTGGTGAACGAGTTCGAGGTCCGTCAGTGTGCTAAGTGCGAGGTTTTTAACGTTCTCGATAGCGTAAAAGTTAACTCAATTTTATATGGAGTTGGAACAGCGCCCCTAGCGGCAAACATGGGCAAAACCTCGCACTTAACACACTTTTTTACCCTCTACCTAAGCTGATAGCCTTGAGAGGCTATGCCAGCGTAATCTAACAAGTAGGTGAGCTCACGCGGCTCAAACCTGACGACGTTGCTAACACGAACCCTAGCAAGAGCAGTGCTTCCAAGAATCTACCACCGAATTGGAAACGCGACCCACTGAAAAAATCCAGTGAGAAATTCATTAGGCTGCATCTGTGGATTTAAATACACTGATTCTCAGTGGTTACCGGAGCTCACAGATATCACGACGTAAATTATATCTCAATTGTGTATTAAATACGTTTTTTTTGCGGTTTTATTTTTTATCAGACACGTATTATTCAGCGTGGAAGTCATTCGTGAACATATGCTAAGTATATATTTCATCAGAAAAATTGGTAGCTGCCTGCGGGATTCGAATCTATGGTCGTATCGCTCCATACGAATGCACCGGACGTCTTATACTTTGAAATAATAATTTGCACGATTTAAGAACTTCTGAATTGTGACGACAAATAAAAATTTCTCCAATAGAAAAAAAAAACGCAAATGTATTTACAGAATTACAATTTAATTTCATTGCTCAGTTTTAATTGGATACAAAAACTTTAATGACCTCATCGTAATCAGCAAGGGCATCTGATTGAATTTATTTTAGAATATGCATATTTCTAATAGCCTTTAATTAGTCTTCTAATAAATAAGCAATAAACCTTAATATCACGTTGTTTCATAATCTGTCGAAAAATATCCTTAGGCATTTATTTTCCTTTCGTATTTCATTACCAAATCATCACCCTGCATTCTTTCAAATTGCTGACACGTTCTTAATTTCGATTAAAATTGAAAAATTTTTTTATTGCCTTTGCAATGAATGACCAGCAGTGGACGTATGTGGGTTGAGAGATAGATAGAAGATAGATAGATTGCCTTTGCAGATAGGCGAGCTTACTGCCACCGGTAAGTAGGCTCCGTCGACCATGGACATCAGCAATGCCCGGAGCACGGCCAAGCCGCTGATGCGGAGTATTAGCCAAAAAACTCGTTTGAAAAAATCCAAAAAGTACATTTCATAGCGCTCAGGAAAATCTTTCAAAACATAACTTATTAATGCTTTAGGTACTCTCGCGGGCTCATATAACGTACCAGGGAAATAGTCCTACAACAAAAAACATTCCAGAAGGACTAGAAAACAACTCAATTTTTTTCAGACACAACAAACATTCCCACAGTTTTATAATTGAGTCGACTATTATCAAAGCCGGCAATGTGACTTTTGGACAATTATTGGTAAATCAGAAAAACGAATTATTGACTTTGTATTCCATTGGCAGTCACAAAACTCTTCTGAACGACATCTTAGATAAATAACAGGTTAAGTTAATACTTTATTTAATGCAGGTTTTGAACCGTATTCATTGAAGGAAACTATTATATTCAAATCAATCTGTATTGACATATCAATAACATTTTTTTGTCCAAATGCACAGATTGCCACCTTTGATAATAGACGACTCATTTATCAGTTCACATTATTTATTATTTATATTGATTTAATTAAGAGAGGACACGGGTTGCGTCTTATTCACACGTAATCTGTTTTTTTTAAACACTAGAACAAATTCATTTTTAATCTGCTGCCTTGTTCGTGTGCCATATTTTAATTAAAAGCCTTATAACTTCCCCGCGCATTTTATGATTGAAAGAGGAAAGAAAAAAAAAACGCACAGGGATAGCGAAGAACAGTTTTGTATATAATTTTTTAAATTAACATTTATTTCGTTCTATTTTTCGAGATGGAAACGAGGAGAATTTGTATTTTAAAAATAATATACTTCTAGGCAAGTTCGAAGGTCTTAAGGAGTAGAAAGCAATACCCTTTTCTTAACGTCTCTTAAATCAAATCAAATCAAATTTTTTTTTTTTTATTCAACATAAATGAAAGTACACACTTGTTGAACGTCAAAAAGAACTACCGCCAATTCACAAAAACTAGCCTCCGTCCTGAGAAGAAATGGCAAGAAATTCAGCGGGCATGTATTTTTTTTAAATACTAGATTTTTTTAACTATTCATTTTTACAAGAGGTATAATAACGTAACAATTATTACAATATTGAAATGCCCGGAGCGAGCAACTCATTCCTACTTTGTGCAATCTTCTAGCTAATCATCGACTTTATATTAAGCTTTATTGCACAGATGTTCTTTAATAGTTTTCTTAAACCTATGGATATGTAGATTCTGAACATCATGTGGGATTTTGTTGTACAGGCGCACAGACAAACGCCCGAATGAATTTCGTATCTTATGTAACCTACTCATCGGCACATCAAGCTTGTGTTTGTTTAATTTTGTACAATATACGTTGCTCTGTACAATGTACAGGCGAATCTGATTACAAACGTGCAGAGCAATGGATCTAAGCTGCGCCATCAGCCGCTCATTAGCGAAGAGGTCTTTGACCAGCAGCTGTTCTAAGATACGGTGTCTCGAAAAACGGGTGTTACTGTCGCAACGTAAATAACGCAACGTTTTTTTTTACAAAGCTTTTGTGTAACAGCCATGTTGCGTACAAGCCGTCACAGTACTTCGAACTAATAGTTAACGTGACAAGATTACCGTGGTCTGTGATATTTTGGTAATAATGAATTCGGCTAATATCTTTGAAGCGTTTTCTAGTGACTTGCAAAGTCGATTTGCATTTTGGAACTCTGTGTTTTTTATTTAAAGTCCCTTCCACGGGAAGCCGTTTAGGGATTGTCTGAACTAATCTTCTAATCACATTTTTACCATTGGATTAGGCGTCTCCCGAGACACAGTTCTTTCTGGAATCGGCGTGTTCGTTCACCTCGTAATTGCTTAGAATTTAAAAAAAAATTCTCAAGATTAAGACGCACAGATTAAACGCATATTCTGAGTACGCCGCGTCCTATTAGGCCAAGGATGGTACAAATTGTCAAAACACCTAAGGCATGATGTGATTACATTATGCGAATTTCGCGAATATCTCTATTGAAAACATCAGACAGATGTTTTTTAATTGCAGCCCAAACTTTACTAAACACGACTGTGCGAGTTGAAAGCAACTTGTGTGTGTTAAGCATAGATTATATATATGCATACATTAATATACCACGATTAACAACATTAGGAAAAAACGGATTATATAAATTTTTGGAATTAATAGATTTTTCAGCGGCTTGGCTCTGCCCCTGGCATTGCTGACGTCCATGAGCGACGGTGACCACTTACCATCAGGTGGGCCGTATGCTCGTCTGCCTACAAAGGCAATAAAAAAAAAAAAAAATCACAAAAGATTTAAAATTTTAATAATTTATCACAAATTATTGCTGTGAGATAGTTTTAATTTAATCACCACTCCTCACCCCCTCCCATATATAGCTATATATACTATTTGAACGACAAATAATTACTGCTACTAACAAATAATTTGTTGAGGTACCCAATATTCAAAGACATGTAAGAGTGATTATAATATATACGTATTATCTTTGAAAATACATTAATCGTTCGGTATATGTATACCAAACTGAAGTACTATAAGCGTTTTAGATTAAGATGCTTCAGCTTGAAGCACCTAATTGTACTAAATGTGAAGTGCGTTTATTTAGCGGCCTCCCGCAACTCAACTTTGAACTTAAACGAAAAAATGACCAACAATTATAACGAATACCCGTAAAGGCTGCACGAGACCGGTTATTGTGGCGAGTCTTGGGGGAGGCCTGCGTTCAGATGAGGACGAGCCTGGGCTGACTGGAAAAAAGGAGACGTGTACACATATATATTTTGGAGAAGCCACAACTATTAACACCTTTTTTTTTTCCTACCTAAGCTGATAGCCTTCGGGGCTATTTCAGCGTAACCCTAACGTTTGTAGGTGAGCTCACGGGGCTCAAACCTGATGACCGTTGCTAACACGAACCCTAGCAAGAGCCGTGCCTCGCAGAATCTACCACCGGATCGGAAACGCGACCCACTGAGAAGATCCGGCGAGAAACTCAGTGGGCTGTGTCTGAGAGTTAATTTACTCGTCGAGCCCTTCGTCGCAAGCGACGGGTTCGACGAGAACGGTGACCGGTGCTTGAAGTACCTAAAAGCACCGTTAGTGGATCGGGAGGATCCGAGATGACGTGTTTGGGGCGACGTCGANTCGCAGAATCTACCACCGGATCGGAAACGCGACCCACTGAGAAGATCCGGCGAGAAACTCAGTGGGCTGTGTCTGAGAGTTAATTTACTCGTCGAGCCCTTCGTCGCAAGCGACGGGTTCGACGAGAACGGTGACCGGTGCTTGAAGTACCTAAAAGCACCGTTAGTGGATCGGGAGGATCCGAGATGACGTGTTTGGGGCGACGTCGACTGCTTTCCATTCTGTCCGCAGCATCGGGAATGTAGTTGCCGGCGGCCACGATGAGAGGGTTCTCGTGTGTGGATTGTATTAACACCACCGTCACACATCGCAGGGGCGAATAGGGTGATCGAGCTAAGAGAAAAATTGAGTACACCAATTACGTTTGTTGTCCCAGAACAATTCAGAAATCTTCTCTTGACGTCAGCAAACGAAAACGACATTTTTTTTTGGCCTACCTATGCTGATAACCTTGTGAGGCTATTTCAGCTTCACCCTAACGTGTAGGTGAGCTCACAGGGCTCAAAGCCGGAGTGTTGCTAATACTGCAGTACAGTACATACTGCATTACCTATCCTCTATTTTATTTTTAATGAAGGGTTTTGTAAATTTTCAGAAACCATAAATTGATAAAATTTTATCAATTTGTCTATAACAAATAAAGACTTGTATGATTTACATTTTTTATTTATTTTCTGTGTGATTTTATACAATAATTAAACGCCTTAGCTTCAACAATGTATAAGCTTAGGGGCATCAGCTACAAGATGTCGCTAGTTTCCATTAAAAAATGTCAAAGTATCGCAGTTACAGGGCCCTAGCTGCTGTTGTGCTATACTGAGACCTTAGAACTCATATCTCAAGGTGGGTTGTATTTACGTTGCAGACGTCTATGGGCTCCGGTAACCACTTAACACCGGGTGGGCTGTGAGCACGTCCAACCGTTTAAGCAATAAAAAAATTAAATTTCAATTAAAAATATGTATTGACAATACTGGAGCTCATACTAGAATTACTGGAGCTCATAGACATCTACAACGTAAATGCGCCACCCACCTTGAGATGTAAGTTCTAAGGTCTCAAGTATAGTTACAACGGCTGCCCCACCCTTCAAACCGAAACGCATTACTGCTTCACGGCAGAAATAGGTATAGGACGGAGGTACCTACCCACCCGCGCGGACTCACAAGAGGTCATAAACCAGTCTTAAAAAAATATATTACTTAGATGGGTGGACGAACTCACAGCCCACTTGGTGTTAAGTGGTTACCACTTAACATCAGGTGGGACAATAAAAAATAAAAAAATCCCAGGGGTTCTAGTTAGTTAGTTCTAGAGTAGATTATCAGCATATTAGAAACTAGGAACGCAGACGTCCTTCGCGTTACTATATAGTAGCTTTTTTTTTCTCCTACCTATGCTGATAGCCTTGAGAGGCTATTTCAGCTTCACCCTAATGTTTGTAGGTGAGCTCGCAGAGCTCAGCCGGAGAGTTGCTAACACTGACCCTAGCAAGAGCAGTGCTTCGCAGAATCTACCACCGGATCGGAAACGCGACCCACTGAGAAGATCCGGCGAGAAACTCAGTGGGCTGTGTCTATGGGTTAGTTCGCTCGTCGAGCCCTTCGTCGCAAGCGACGGGTTCGACGAGGACGGTGACCGGTCGACGAGGACGGTGACCGGTTATATAGTAGTATAGACTTTGTCAAATCAAATTTCATCTCCAGTAACTTTCAAACCTCAAAGAATATTGGGCGGTTGAAAGAATGTTGGTCGGTGCCACCAGGAAGTGACGTAAAATCAAAGAAAATGAATATAACGGTTTATATTAGATTACAATGATATACTTTAAAAAAATATATGTAACATGAATGGAATAAAACAGAAAATAAACCTAAAGAAAGGTACATACGGTAAGGCACAGTATTACAAAAAAAATATAATCAAAAAATTACAATTATGTTTAACAAAATAATACTCTTCAAAGTTTGAGACGCAGTGAACTTGTAATATTGTGAATATATTAAATTTAAATTTAACTTTTCGAGATTTATTTAAATTTTACACCAATGAAACGTGGTATGCGATTTTCAACCTTAAGTTCGTTCGCCGATAAGCGGGTGCAAACTCTTTTCCAATCGCGATTAAACTAACTACAAACAGAAAACACTGTGTGCCACGAATGTCGTAACGTTATAAAATTAAATGCTTTAAAAAATATATCAAGGGCAAACGATTACGGAGAATGTCGATTTGATTAAATACTAGATCTAGTTTAGAGTTCGTTGTCATAAAATTAAAACATGTCGTCACATGAATCACGAATTCACCAACAAGGACCTTTTCGTACGACGTATTTTAAAATAAAACAGCTTTTAAATTAATATTCGCATTAAAGTTATTCAAGGAAACTAATGACAGTATTAACAAAGGAACCATAAGACAGCTTACCGTTGAAAAACAAAGAACTAAAACAAAATTAAACAAAAAACTGCGAACAATCACAATCACTTCATTGTTTGAAACAAATAACAACACTCCGCCACTACACACGTCACATCACTCCACGAGCGCGGGCACAAATAAATAAAATTAAATAAATTTGTCAGTTCTATTTTGTAATTATACCACCAAACGAGCGTCCTCCATCGGTTATCGTTCATTTGGTCACTTTATGTTAACAACGAAACTAACGCCATCTGTTGAAATTATGTGTGAAAATGATTGAATAACTAATAGGTTATTTACGATTAATGAATTTTACATTTATCTTAAGATAATACTTNGCACAAATAAATAAAATTAAATAAATTTGTCAGTTCTATTTTGTAATTATACCACCAAACGAGCGTCCTCCATCGGTTATCGTTCATTTGGTCACTTTATGTTAACAACGAAACTAACGCCATCTGTTGAAATTATGTGTGAAAATGATTGAATAACTAATAGGTTATTTACGATTAATGAATTTTACATTTATCTTAAGATAATACTTACACGAAGACAAATACAAACATGTAGGAACACAATACAAACAAATGGGCACTCGTCTTCTTGGCCAGTAACACGAAGTTATAAAAAACTATGCTTCATATCTTTATTTATCGCATTAATCAGTTAGTTTATAGTTTTACTCAATTAAAAGCGATTAAAAATGTTATTCTAATTTTCTTATAAAGAATATTCTATAGTTTTTAGTAAATATCTACCATGAACAAAGTTTTTGATAAAGTTTCACATGGTGTATTCTCGAAAAGGAAGGTCATTGAAGACTTCGTTTATGCAGTGTCGAGCCGCCAAGTCGAGGCGATTAAACTACCCTTCACGGAAAATATTAATTTACTAACTATGTATAATATATCTTGTTGTTTTGGTGACTTCCTATTCAGTGGCAAAACGTACAACGCGTAGGTATATGAGAGACGCACCCCGTGTGACTTTTTATGTTTGCAAAAACATTCGAAAAATGCAAAGAATTTATTAACTGCTTAGTGATAACACTTAATGAATCGTATTCATTTTGCAGACAAAAGCGATTCTGTCTGAGGGACCTATTAGCTCTGAACAAAAGAATAAATTATCTCTGTTGATACCTTGAACTTAGCTCAGATGCAAACCTAGTATTTGCATGCACATTACATTCACATGGTTCGCATTTTACAATTCTGCTTTGTCACGTTAGCAATAAAACTGATTTTACCTTAAATTAGCCTTGAATAAACATACCATATACTTACAGCGTGAACTTAAATTCAATGGAAAAACTATTTTCCTGGTTTATACAATTCTAAACGTACCTACTTTAAATGCAAAGTTGATGTTCAATCTTAGTATCTTAGTAGTGATGTATTCTGATAACACTTTAATATTGTCATCTTTCGGGAGTGTCACTTTAGCGATCTAAATAAAAAGCTGGTTTACCATCCTGGTGTTCGTTGATTACGGAGACTCACACTCCAACCTATGAAATCGCTACGTGAATGCTGTCATCCATGTGTCAATATGGATGACAGCATTCACGTAGCGATGAAGTGGAAGACTCAATTTTATTTTATAGCAGTTGTCCCAGCTAGCGACGTAACGATAGGTGGGTAGGGCTGGCAAAATGCCACGAACCCCCGGGCACGGGTGGCCGTAAACTCAATTAATGAAAAAAATTTAACAAATTTGACTACTTATTATAGATTTTGTATAAGGATTTAAAGTTAAGTTACATATGATTAAAAATCGTAATACATATTAAATTTAAAAGTATTAATATAGAAAAAATTCCATTTTATAATGCGTCCATTTAACTAAAATACAAAAAATATTAGTAATACTTTTTTATAATTACTTTTAGTGATTTATTAAAAATGAAATTATGGTTTCTACTGGACCCTATCCATTTGCCCCGAATAGCAATACCTACGTCACTGGTCTCACGCCTGCTTAAGACAGATTACAAATTTTTTGAGCGGTAACCAATAATTGTTTAAAATATTCAGTGGGCCGCCGTTTAAATTCTTGTTAAAGCTATTTTAACGAGCCTTTAATAGCAAGTTAATGCATTTTTAATAGATGAATGCGTCACGAGGAACACACCAGAAAAAAAAAACATTATTCAAAGCTGTTGAAGTAAATTAGTAGTCTTGTTTGACGGTAACAACTAATCTATTTGTTTTTATGATTTATGAAAAATACAAACACTCAATACGGTACATCCGAATTGTATTTGTATAAAATACTAGCCGTACTCGCCTGCTTGGCTGGGCATTTAAGATTAACATTATTATATATTTTTATTATTATTAGGGAGTCCAACACTCATATAAATACTAGCCTATCCATGTATCATATGTATTTTCTACATGGATACCAAGTTTCAAGTCAATCGGATGCAAGGTTCAGTAGTTATAACGGAACATCCGTAAAAACCACTGTAGATTTATAAATTAGTATAGATGATACTCAAAATTGTCAAATTTGACAGATTCACTTTCTAACGATCATTAGACTTCCTGATAAACTGTGTAAGTTAACGAAAACAAAATTAAAATCTGTTCAGAAATAAGGAAGTTCTATGTAATTCTATGTTAAACAGATAAGCACAATAGTCTCCACAATAATGTTCATTAACNTAAAAACCACTGTAGATTTATAAATTAGTATAGATGATACTCAAAATTGTCAAATTTGACAGATTCACTTTCTAACGATCATTAGACTTCCTGATAAACTGTGTAAGTTAACGAAAACAAAATTAAAATCTGTTCAGAAATAAGGAAGTTCTATGTAATTCTATGTTAAACAGATAAGCACAATAGTCTCCACAATAATGTTCATTATCAAAGAATTTTGGTTGTTGAAACTGCTATGACGCATGACGTGTCTTTTAAAAATAAACATTTTCGGATTGGAAGTACCGTAACGGGATTGCCTTCGTAAAAGCGATCGACCGATGTTGTGCAATGCATTTTATAACAGTCTCGCTTCAAGGTTCACGTTGTTTCGCCTTGACTCGGACCTCTGGGCGCGATTATACCTTCACGAGTTTATGTGCGCCTAGTACTTATATCAGGGAATATTGGCGTTATTGATTGGAAATACGTAACTGAATAAATAATTAATTAGATATTGATGTTTTCATGTTTGTAATTGCGTTAACTATACACAGAATACAAAACAAGATTCCATTTGTGTTCATATTTATTTTTATTTGATCGACCTTATTTTTATCAAACTTATTGTTGTGTCTAAAATGCTTAATTAAACAACACCACATAGTTTTCAATAGAAACAAAAAACCTCAATCGCCGTGGCCTAAATGATAAGACAGTCGGACGATCGATGCTACTATGCCAGTGTTCAAACCCCACAGGCAGGTATAATTTTTTTTTTAAATACATAAATTATATGGTGTTCTTGTACGGCTTCCACGATGAAAGAATATCATAGTTTAATTGAAAATTAAATCCATAAAAGTTATTGTATACGTTTGCGTGCTTACTGAGGGTATCAAAACTTTTTTACTGCCCTTATAGACAGATGAGCATACATACGGCCCACCTAGTGGTGAGTGAGCGTAGTCGCTCATAGAACTCAGCAATCTCAGAGGGAAAGTCAAACCGCTGCCTACTGTCGATACTTTGCCCTTGCCTATCTTTACCATGAAGAACTTATATTTTCTATTTTAAAGAGTGGGTCAGGAATACGATTTAGACTCCGACCTTATTACTGAAGATATGAAGTCGTCGTGGCCTAAAGGATAAGACGTCCGGTGTATTCGTGTCTAGCGATGCATCGGTGCTCGAATCCCACAGGCAACTACCATTTTTTCTAATAAAATACGTACTTAACAAATGTTCACGATTGACTTCCACGGTGATTATAATTTGCGTAATAACTGGTGGTAGGACCTCTAGTGAGTGGGGCATGATTTGAGGCAAAAAAATTTAAATGCCAAAATTTCAGTGGCAAGAATAGTAAAGACTCCTTTGGAAATGAGATCAGATTATTAAAAAAAATATTACATAATAATTTTAAATTTAAAATAAAAATATTAGATCAAAATTACTAAAATTTATTCTAACATTAACAGATAAACAGGGCCTAGGGCGTCATCAAGCCTAAATCCATCACTGATCATTCCCGATCCTGCGGACAGAATGGAAAACAGGCGACGTCGCCCCAAACACGTCATTTCGGTTCGTCCCGATCCACTAACGGTGCTTTTAGGTACCTCAAGCACCGGTCATCGTTCTCGTCGAGCCCGTCACTTGCGACGAAGGGCTCGACGAGTAAATTAATCCATAGATCCACTATCGCCGGATTTTCTCAGATTGCGTTTCCGATCCAGTAGTAAATTCTGCGAAGCACTGCTCTTGCTAGGGCCAGTGTTAGCAACACTCCCGGTTTGACTCCCGTGAGCTTACCTACTGGCTCGGTGAACCTAGAATAACCCCTCGACGTTACTAGAATATGTGGAAAAAAAAGAGTATACACGTTTAGTTCGCAAGCCGGTCACGGTGTTAGCCCGTCAGCGCAGAAGTTGCAGATCGACTTGCGTCACTGATTGCCGGCTGCCTTTTACTTGGACCTCGCTTCAAGGCCAGCCACGAAATCCATTATAGTTTTACACTTGTTTAGTTTCACATATTCTAACTAGGCCATAAATATGTACTCCTACATAAAAACTTTTCTTTTTTTGAAATTTGAAATTTTTTAATTATTTTGAATGTAATCCTTTTAAAAACTATAGATTCTTGGCCAAACAGATTAAAGCCCTATATATATGTGTAAAAGCCAAAGGTGGCCAATAGAATGAATAGAATGGCCGAACAGATTTTTTTTTTGCTGAGACTTCAATAAAAATATGTAGGTGTAAATTTTAACATTATTACATTACTTTATTTAAAAAAATGTATTTTCATCTGTAACAGAACTTCTGGTTGGAATAGGTATAGTTAGTTTCACGTAAAATCTTTTTAATATGTATCACGTTTTAAACAGGATTTATTTAGTTCAATCTTGTAAGCTAAATTCGAATTCCTCTTGTCATATGGAATTGAATGAGAGACCCATTTTTATTGTAAACGTGACCTGAATGGATGAACCTGAATTTAGGATTAGCTTCTGTTAAAGAAACTCTTAAATGGGCAACAGCACAGATA